TTAGAAAATTTATTTTCAGTAATTGGTATCCTTATTGAAAATATATCGCAAAAACCAGATGATCCAGAAAATATCAATTTTGTTGTTGAATCAGTAATTTCTCTATTTTTAATATCAACTAATATACCAAATTTCTCTAAAAAGTTAGCGCCTATGATTGGTGTTGAAATATCCGCTAATATGAAAGGGAATTAAAAATCGCGTCTTAATCCTAGATTAATTTTTAAAAGTTTTGTACCATATGTTTTAATAAAAGAGCCGTTAGCTGCAGTCAAATTAAGATCTGAATTTCTTTTATGTGATTTCAATTTTGAAGAAGGAATGACCGAAACGATTGCACCAGTATCAATTAAAAAATTTAATTTATTGGATTTATCATAAATAAATAGGCGGCGAGATGGTTTAACTTCATTCCCATTATTAGCCACCGCCATAATGGAACGATTTAGTTTAAAACATTTGTATTTGAATGATCACTATTTGCATTCAAATTTCAAGGTTGAATACATTTATAAGTTATTTTTGAATTTTCTGTGGTACCAACAAATGTTTTGATTAGAATTGTCTCTCGATCTAGAAAACCTTCTCGATTTAGAATGACTTCTATCTCTATCTCTATCTCTAGATCTTGATCTAATTTGTAATTCATTAATATCTTCTGTAATTTTGTTAAGATTTTGATAAATGGCTGTAGTTAAATCAGTTAAATTTCTAATGCATTGTTCAAGAATATTGTTATTATTTTCTACACTAGCGACATTAAAAGATTTAGACGATTGAGGTTTATTTATCAAATCAAAAAATTATCTGCAAGAGAAATAATTTCTTCAGTACTTTGATTACTACAAGAAGTTATATGAATTTGTCTTTGCTGCGGTAATTTCCTACTCCATAATTTAAATAAAAGTTCTTTACTAACAATTGATTTGGAACCTGCTAAAGATTTCATATGTCTATAAAATTCTGATGGCGAACGATCACCTAGTTCGGTATTTGAAAATAATTGCTCTAATCTCTTCTCTTCGCTAAGAGAAAATCTTTCACTTAAACCTTTTTTAATTGTATTGGTGATCTTTGCATTTTGAAATGAACTGGAGTAGAAGTTTACAAAATAAATATATATTTTAAATAACACAAATTATATTTATATATATATAAACAAAAAAAATATTTAAAGTTTAAATAAATGTTAATAAAAATTAATTATATTAATATAAACTTATTTATATCAGTTAATGTTAATTCTAAATTTCTTTTAAAAATTTTGGTTTTAAAATTTAATTATATTTAAATGTATGTATTTGATATTCAATAATTAATATAATTTAGATATTTATTGAATTAATAAACTAATCCTTATGATTATTCATTTCATATTAAGTGAACGAAAGACTTAAGATACGAACTTGTATTGAAACAGTTTTGTTTAATATCAACAAATTATTAAATTAAGCTAATACAAATGAACGTATTATGATAAAATACGTCACAATTCAATCTAAAGATACATAGATCCTGAAAACTAAAGTAAATTGTTGTGGATTTGTTTCTTGACTATTTGATTGTTACATCAGTCGTAAATTATTTTAAAATAACCGCCAACATTATGCTGAATCGACACTATATTGTTTTTACGGGGTTTTCCTGCTGTTACAGCGATAAATGTACGTCACAGACAAGATATTTGCTGCCGTTGGTGGTGGTGGTTAAAGAAACAAAGTTGTTGGATTTACCAGTTTATAGACTCGGTATAATTGAAAATAGAAAATCAGCTTTTTTTAAATCTGCAGTTTGTTTGTCCAACGTTGGTTAACTTGCAGAAATGTTTCGGTCGGACTCTAGGTTCAATTTAATTTTGCAGCCTTTGGTTTTGAAAGCGTTTTCAGTTGTTAATTTTTTTGGTATTTACTAATTAATTCAGAAATTTATTGTGTCGTTAAATATTTCTCGAAAATCAGGATCGCCAATATATCATTTATATGATATTTTAATAACTAAATATATTTAGTTTAAATTTTAAGTTTTTTATATGTTGAAAGTTTATTTATTAATAATCAAAAATTTTCTCTTCAACTACAAACAAATTCATAGAACCATAAATTGAAAATCAAGAATTTAAACAAGTATAAAAACATACAAGTAAAATACCCTACATTCACAAAGCTTTAAAATACCATCCCTACCACATTCAACGTGTTCAGGCTCTACAAGAGAGAGATTACCTGTCGAGGGTTAGAGTTTGCAGTGAAATGTTGCGAATGTATGATTCAGACCCCAACTTTTTTAATAAAATAATTTGGAGCGATGAATCATCATACAAACGTGATTGTTATTTTAATTTACATAACCTTCACAGTTAGCAGATAGGCAATCCTCACGAAATGAGATAAGATCGTTCGCAGTACCAGTACAAAATAAATTTATGGTGCGGTATTTTTAATTGTCAGATATTGAGACCTGTGGAACTGCCGCCAACGCTCAACTCCCACAGTTATTTAAAGTTCCTTCAGGAAAGGCTTCCAACTCTTTTAGAAGATGTACCCCTAAACCTGCGTCGAAGACTATGGCAGCAAAAAGACGGACGTCCTGCTCACTACGGGCGTGAAGTAAAAGCTCATTTAGACGAAACTTATCCTCGCCGATGGATTGGACGATACGGACCAATCACATGGCCTCTTAAGGACAAAATTTATTCAAAACCAATTCAAAACGAAGAGCATTTGCGGGAACAAATAAATGGAGCTGAGATGCTGAGATAGCCTAATTGAGTTAAAGATCTCTAAAAGCGTATTTTCTTAAAAGGTGCCGAGCGTGTATTAGAGTAGAAGGTCGCCAATTTGAGCATAATTTATCAATAAATGAATAAATTTTTCTGCAAACAACTCATGTATGTTTTATTTCACGTGAACCCATTGTAAAATAGACTAAACCAGATTCGCAATTAAGATGTTGTTTTATTTAAGTAAAATTTGGTTTTGGTCTACAAACTATTACATCAACCGCGATTGGCGCGAATTACAGAAAACCGCGTTAGGCGCGGGTTTTATGTGGTATGTTCTCGTCGGCTTTTGCGCTGCGAATGACTGAACAATTAAAGGACAAATATAGGACAAGTAAAATATAAGTAAATAAGTAAATAAATAAATGTTCGGAAATGACATAGCGGTAACATAAAATTATCTGGTGCTGCCGGATGGATGTTGTAGTTGACATGTAGGTGGCGTTAACATCCCACCCCCCGGCGAATCCTAGTGGGGATTCGCAAACTCCAGAGCGGCTAGCTTCGAGGCTGGACGACGAATAGTTCCACCACTGGTTTGTACCGTGGCGCTTCTCACTTGACCGTTGTTGTTGTAATAGCATACAAATTCCCCAGAGATTTTGGGGAGTGTTGCTGGAGTGACAGTCCTTGGCCAGACATAAATCTGGGTCGTTCCGGTTACGTAGACCCGACTGTCGTGGGAACGCTCACTTGACCGTCTTTCGCTTTAATGACTTCGGTGATGCGGCCGGTCTGCCACTGGCCTCGTGGCAAGTGAGGGTCGCAAACCAATACTAGCTGTCCTGGTTGAAGAGGAGTAGAGTCTTTATGCCATTTTGAACGCGTCAGAAGTTGTGGTAGGTACTCGTTGATCCATCGCTTCCATAAGCGAT